TTTCTGTTTCATATGTGTCTCTTGTAAACAACATATTTTGGGATTCAGCTATTATAAAACATTCTACTATTGACTTCCATTTTATGGGTAAGATCTGATTTGCTTTTGACATTGCCTTTCTTATTCCTCCCTCCCTTTTATCACCTCCACCTTTTTCTTTTATGCCTTTCTTGTTCTATTTCCCTGTTGGGTAGGATAGGTTTATATACCCAGTTGAGTGTGTGTGTGTGTGTGTGTGTGTGTGTGTGTGTGTGTGTGTCTGGTTATTATCTCACATAAAAGAGGCATGCAGGGAAGAGCTATAATATTCCTGGAAGTTTTCATTTTGGGATCTTTTAGGTGGATTGGTGAATTTTATTTTGATTATGGTTCTAAAATATTGGAGCAGTTTTCCCTTATGCTTTCTTGAAATATGATATTTAGCCTCTTTTTTTGATCATGGCTTTCAGGTAGTCCAGTAATTCTTAAATTATCTTTCTTTGATATATTTTCCTGATCAATTTTTTCTTGTATCTCATATTTTCTTCTATTTTTTTCAGTCTTTTGACTCTTTATTGTTTCTTGTAATCTCACAGAGTCATAAACTTCCCCTTGCCCAATTCTGTTTTTTAAGGAATTATTTTCTTCAGTTAAGTTTTCTATGTGTTTTAATATTTGGCAGAGTCTTAGAGAAAAGAGGCAGAGCCAAATAGAGTATTGGAGGCAAATCTGGCTGGACTCTCTACATTCCCTTCCAAACAACTTCAAAATAACACCTCAAATCAAATTTGGAGTGGCAAAGGCAAGAAAAGGCATTTTTCTGGCCTAGGAGAACTTAGGAGGTCTGAAGGAGAAGTCTGTGACACCGGGGTGAAAGCCTGTCTGTGATGCACACACACAGTGGCAGCAGCTGCAGCAGCAGCCTTGGTAGCTTACAGCACAGAGAAAGTAAGGGGGTGGAAAACTGGTCAGAAAGAGATTATTGGGGACCCTTTGCTGGCACTGGATATAGCTGGCACTGCTTAGCAATTCTATTGTCCATATGCAGTTCTGGGTCACAGTTCCAGGGCAGAGAGGAGGACTGGTTGTCAGTCACATGGGAGCAGGTACCCTTGTCACAATTTCAAGGCAAAGAAAGTGCTAACAATTGTGGCTGCAAGGTACCATGGGCACTTCCTAGATAAATATCAGAGTGCAGACTAGGAGAGCAGTGACCATACCTCTCCCAGGATCACACCTACTTAGAAGCACCAAAAAATCACAGATCCCCAAAACTAGCTCTGAAAATAGCATCATGATAAAGCCCGAAAATTGAGACAGTGCTTTTCGGCCCCCATGTGAGCAGAGTACCAACTTTACATAAATTTTAAAGTCAATTTACACAAAAGAAGAAAGAAAATAAAAATCTAAACTTTATGGCTCACAAAAAAATTTTAAAGTCAAGAAATAGACTGGAAAATGAGCAAACAGCAAAAAAGTAGTTTGACCGTTAAAAGCTATTACAGTAGCAGGAAGACCAAGACATAAATTCAGAAGAAAACAACAATATCAAAACTGCTACAAAGTTTCAAATAAAAATGTTAATTTTGCCCAAGCCCAACAAGTCTGGAAGAGTTTTTTAAAAAAAGAGAGAGAGAGAAAAGAATGGTAGAAGAAAAGTTGAGGAAATAAGTGCTGCAATAAAAAATATGAAAATAAAATTAACAGCTTGGTAAAAAGAGGCAGAAAAAATCCTGAAGTAAATAATACCTTAAAAATCAGAATTGACCAAACTGGAAAGGTGGTACAAAAACTCTCAGAAGAAAATAATTACTTAAAAATTAGATTTTGGCAAATGGAAACTAATAACTCCATGAAATATCAGGAAACAATAAAACAGTAAAGGAATGATAAAAATAGAAGAAAATGTAAAATAGCTTATTGGAAAAGCAACTGATTTGGAAAATAGATCAAGGAAAGATAACAAGAATTACTGGGCTACTTAAAAGCCATGATTTAAAAAAAAATCCTAGACATCATATTTCAAGAAATTATCAAGGAAAATTGCCCTGTTATCTTAGATCCATAGGGCAAAATAAAAATTGAAGGAACCTACCAATCACCTCCTCAAAGAGATTCCAAAATGATTCCACTGAATATTATAGCCAAATTCCAGAGCTCCCAGGTCAAAAAGAAAATGCTATAAGCAATTAGGAAAAAAAACAAAACAAAACAAAACAAAACAAAGTAACAACTATTTAAATATTGTAGAACCACAGTCAGGATCATGCAAGATTTGATGGCTTTCACATTAAAGGAAAAATGGCTTGGAATGACATTCTGGAAAGCAAATTACAACCAAGAATCATTTACATAGCAAAAATGAGTATAATCCTACAGTGGAAAAATGGATTTTTAATGAAATTGAGAACTTTCAAGCATTCTTGATGAAAAGACCAGAATTGAATAGAAAATGTGACATTTGAATAAAAGATACAAGAGAAGAATTAAAAGGTAAACATGAAAGAGTTAATTATAAGAATCTCAACAAAGTTAAACTGTTTACATTCCTTTATGGGAAGATGATGCTTATAACTCCTAAGAACTTTATCATTATTAGGACAGTTAAAAGGAGTTTACATAGAGGGCATGGATTTGAATCAATTATATTGGAATGATCTCCCCCCAAAAAAATAAAGGGGTAAAAAAGAGAGACGCCCTAGGAGAAGGAGAAAGGAAGAGGTAGAATGGGGAATATTTTATCACATAAAAGATGCACGCAAGGGAGAGCTTTTACAATGGAGGGGGAAATAGGATGGTTGCACACAATGGTTGAACCTTATCTCATAACAATTGGTTTAAAGAGGGAAGAATAAATGTATACATATATGCACACATACACATATATATGTATGTATATATGTATATAAACACACACACACACACACTCAGTTGTGTATAGAAATGTAACATACCCAGTGGGGAAATAGGAATGGAAGAGGATAAGATAAAGGAGGAAAATGATAAAAGGCAGGGCAGACTAATGGAGGCAGTCTTTTGAGAGGGACAAGAAAAAAGAGAAAAAGAGGGAGAAACAGGAAAAAAATGGGATGGAGGGAAATGTTGTATAGTAATCATAAATGTGAATGGGATGAGCTCACTCTTAACATAGAAGCAGTTAGTAGAATGGATTAGAAACCATAATCCAACAATATGTTGTTTGCCACGAGACACTTGAAACAGAAAGAAAAACAGAATTAAAATAAAGGACTGAAACAGAATGGAATATGCTTCAGCTGAAGCAAAAAGTCAGGGTAGCAATCATAATCTTAGACTAACCAAAAGCAAAAATAGACCTATTTAAAGGAGATTTAAAAAAAAACAACAACTAACTTTTGATAAAAGAACTATTGAAATTGGAATGATATCAGAAATTTTTATAGCAAGTTTCTCTGATAAAGGGTTCATTTCTCAAATATATTCTGAGTATAGAATTGAATCAAATTTATAAATAAAATTTATAAATAAAAAATAAAATCCAATTGATAAATGGTCAAAGGTTACAAATAGGCAGTTTTAAGAAAAAAGGGAAGGAGAGTGGCAGTTCAAAATATATACATCCATACAACACACATACACATATACACAGACACATACATATTCATACCTACACTTATACATACTTAGACATACATATATGTTATATATGAAAAAATACATGTATATGCTTCTGTTACTGTATACAATATTCTCTTGGTTCTGCTCATTACACTCTTCATCATTTCATGCAGGTCTTTCCATGCTTTCCTAAAATCCACCTGCTCATTATCTCTTATAGCACAGTAGCATTCCATCACAATCATATACCATAATTTGGTTAGCCATTCCCAGGGCATCCCCTCAATTTCAAGCTCTTTGCCACCACGTAGAGAGCTGCTATAAATATTTTTTAAACACATAGATTCTTTTCCTTTTTATCTGATCACATTGGGTCAGAGTATATACCTATTTATAACTGTTTGGGCATAATTCCAGATTGCCTTCCAAAATGGATCAATTGACAGTTCCACCAAGAGCATATTAGTATCACATTGAAAGAATACTATTGTGCTGTTGGAAATGGGGGAGGGGTGGTTTAGGAAAACATGGGAAGACCTATAGAAACTGATGCAAAGTGAAGTGCAGAGATCTAGAAGATCATTGTGCACAGTAACAGCAATATTGTATTGATGATCAACTGTGAAAGACTTAGCTACTCTGATCAATACAATGATCCAAGATTATTCCTAAGGACTCATGATGAAAAAAATGCTATCCACCTCCAGAGAGAGAACTGATGAACTCTGAATGATAATTGAAGTATAATTTCTTTATTGTCTTTATTTTTTTTTCTTGCTTTTTTGGGGCAATATGGCTAATATGGAAATACATGATTTCACACATGTAATTGATATCATAATGCTTGTCTTCCCAGTGTGTATAATAGGGGGTTTAGAGAGGGAGGAGAGAGTTTAAAACTCAGAATAAAAAAGAAATGAATGTTAAATAACAGTGAAAATATTTTTAAATTTTGCCAATTTTGGTTTTTAAGGAGTTATTTTCTTCAATATTTTGTGCTCTATCAAGCTATTATATTTCTTTTCATAACTTCCTTTCCTTTCCCATTTGTTACATTTCCTTTCCCAATTTTTACTCTATTGCTCTTACTTGAATTTGTTTTTTGCTTTTTTTACCTCTTTCTTTAACTCTTCTAGCAATTCTTGTTGAGCTTATGTACAATCTACATTTTGCTTTGAAGCTTTGCTTGTAGATGTTTTCAGGTCATTGTCTTTTGAAAATGTCTCGCGTTTTCTCTTCATCCTTATAACTTCATACTGTCAGGTAGTTTTATTGTTCATTGCTCATTTTCCCAGGTAACTTCTTGAACTTGGACTTTATATTAAATTTGGGTTTTCTTTAACTATGGAATATAGGGGAGGCTTGGGGAAGGTGGTGACTGTACTGTGCTTCAGCCTTTGATTTCCTGCTGTTTTCCCAGCTAGGTCAAAGGGACTATATGCTTTCAGTGCTACAAACGTGGTGTGATTGGGGAGAAATCTGGTCACTACTTTCCTGGTCTGTGCTCTGGTTCTTCTTCAGGTAAGATCCCTGCTCCCTGGCAATCATAACCCTTCTGTGTCCTTGAACTGCAAATGGTACCCATATAGGACCCTTGCTCTTTTGTGTCTGCAAGCACTTCTCTTCGATCTGGAACTGAGGCTCCTACCAGTTAGTATTCCTGCTCCCTTGTGACTACAAGTGCTCTTTTCCACCTTGGAACTGTAAACCTGGAACTGAGTAATAGGTAATGGAGTTGCCAAATGACACTCTGTCTGGCACACAGTGTTAGCCTAGGGTGCCCCTGCAATCTCTTTCTGATTATAATGACTGATACAGTCCTTTTATCATTTCTGGGCTCTAAGTGCTTGCAGTGCCATTGCTTCTGCTGCTGCCACTGCAGCATGTTACAAAGCCCACAGCAGGTGTAGCTTCTGCCAATCCAAGCTCCTGACCAGCCCTCACCCCAGTGTCCATGAACCCTTTTTTTCTATCTATCCAAGGTGCTCTGGGTTGAAAAAAAATGACTCACTGTGACTTTTTTTTGTTGCTTTTCCTGCTTGTAATCTGATTTGACATGCTTTTAAAAGCTGTTTGAAGGAGAATATATTGGTTGAGCTACGCAAAAGTGCTATCAAGGGTGGACCTGCAGCCTCGGTGCCATATGTGGCCTTATAGGTTCTGAAGTGTGGCCTTTTGACTGAGTCCAAGTTTTACAGAACAAATCCTTTTATTAAGGGGATTTCTTCTGTGAAGTTTGCATTTAGTCAAAGGGCCTTTTTTGAGGACCTAGAGGGCAACATGTGGCCTTGAGGCTGCACATTCCCCACTCCTGTGCCAACTTTATTCCACCATCTTGACTGTACCCTTTGGAATTAACTTCTGTAAGGTAGACATTGCTTTGAATTATTTTCATTGAGAATTTTCAAAGCAACATTTATTTGGCTCTTACTATGTACAAATTCTTGTCAAATAAAGATGAAATACAGTGGCATCCATATCTTCAAGGAGCTTTTAGTTTAATAGGGGAGGTAACACATACACATACACACACACACACACACACACACACACATATTTTCAGTTTTGTGGCTGAACACCCACTTTGGTCTGAATTACAACTGCTCCATGGTTTCAGCCTTTGTCTCCAGAAACTTGGAAGAAACAGTATCCTCTTCAGCCATCAGTAGAGGAGACTTGATTATTGGCCATAGCTATAACTGAGATAACTCTGGGAGCAGCAATGTGGTATTGGGGGGAATAGCAGTTCTGGTGGGGCTGGTAATGTGCTATTTGCCAGGCTTTAACACGCAGGAGACGAAACTTGTGGTGAAGGAGCACCTTATCTTTCTCAACAGTGAGATATTAAGTGACACATACTTCCTTGTGAAAAGATACCTCTTCTTTGAAACATGACATATATAAGAATATGTACAGACATAATATTATTTTGAAATGGTGAGGGATAGTTTAGCCTGCATCATTTCTTTTGAGTCAAAGATTGGCTAGAGTTATCAAAAAATGAGTAAAAATATTGGCATTAGCCTTTTCAGTGTAGCTCATTTTGCATAAATTGATAAGAGCTTTTTTTTAAGCCACAGAAATTTTTTAAATCACTCTTCCAAGATTATACTCTATTAGATTTTTTAAAAGACAGAAAATTACATATATATTTTTTATTTAATTGAAACAGAATTGTCCTCAGGGCTAAGAAATGCAAGTCCTGTCTCTAGCACATGTTAGCTGTGTGATCTGGCAGCATTCACAGTTTAAGAAGTGCTGAAGGAGTTGGGAATGGAAAAAGTTTAAGAAGACTGCCTCTAGGTAATCCTCTAAGATTATAAGTTACAAATGAGATCACATATCCAGTCTTTATCCCCATCCCTATCATTATTTCTTTTTTTTTTGTGAGGCAATTGGGGTCAAGTGACTTGCCCAGGATCACACAGCTAGTAAGTGTTAAGTGTCTGAGGCTGGATTTGAACTCGGGTCCTCCTGACTCCAAGGCCAGGGACACCACGCCACCTAGCTGCCCCATATCATTATTTCTATCCCTATCTTTATCCCAATCCTTATCTCTATCCTTATCACCATTTCTCTTTCCCTGTCCGTATCCCTATTTCTACCCCTGTGCCCAGCAGTACCCCTATCCTTATCACTTTCTCTATTTCTCTCTATGATTTTGCCAGTGTTAGGCACTCCCTCTATTGATACTGAGCATAACTCCTCTAGCACTTAGTTGATAGTCTTTGTTATCTTGTAGCCAACCTGAGCATGGCTAGATTGGTACTTGGACAACAAATACACAGTCTGCAATTGTGTCCCCATTTGAAGTTTTACCAACCTGACAGGTTTTGGTAGAGCTTGTGCTGTGCCTTGAAGGTAATAGGTATTTAAATATTGGTAAATGGAATAAAATTATGAGAAGCGCATATGCATTTCAGTGATTTGTGAAAACCTAGATTTTTTTTTATTCTAGAAAATTGCATTTAAATGAATCATTCAATTGGAGGAAGCTTAGAAAGATCAAAGTAGGAGTTTATTATAAAAATCCAATTAATTTTATTTGAGCTGAGATTTCAATTAGAATTTTACCTGCTCTTCAAATATTTTAAAGTTTTTGATGGGGCCAAGTACTATAGAAAATAAGAGGGGAATTGGATCAAAAGGAGTTCTTCATTTATTCCATCTTACTGTTTGAGTTTTTAAGGAATTGCCTTCCTAAAGAAAGCCCCTTTTGCCAAAGGGTGGGGAAAATCACCTACCCTACCTTGAGGGAAAAGGTCTAGTATCAATTTGAGGAAAAGCTCTAGTATCAATGTAAATTCTGCTAGCCCCTTTACACCTTCTCCTCTTCTTTTCCCCCTGCTTCACTTGCCCCATCCTTTGCCTGAGAAGGGATGCACATGTACCCACACATAGAATCATAGACACACAGGCACTAAGTGGTTACTCTCTGGCTCCAGGCATGAGCAGGTTCAAAGGTCTGTCATTTAAGTCTCACAACTAAATAAACATGCAGGGTTATCATCATTTTACTCTTGCTCTCCCATTTTATGACTCTACTAATGGTTTAGGGATTAGCTGTGTTAATGACTCCTGAAAATGTCCAGTTTGAAAGAGCTGAAAGGCACACAAAAAGTGCCTGCTTACAAGAGAGTCTTCCTTTTGCTAACCATGGCCTACAAAAGTACAGACAGTTTGTGCTGCACAGAAGGCACTAAAATGAGCTTGATTCAGTTCTGATTGTGATGGAGCAGATTTTTTTTATGTATTTTTTTAAATGAATACAAAAAAGGGGGTGCCATTGTTATGGCTGTGATTTTTTTTTTTTACAAATTGTAGAATTCTTAAATATGTCAATGCGTATGACTCTCAGCTGAGAAAAAGTCTTATGTTTTAATTGTTAAGTAAAACTTATTACCAAAATCAGTTGAACACCTTGATCTGGAAGTCTTCACTGTTAGTGCTGGAAGAACAGACTGGCTAATAAGCGCTGCTTTGTATTTTGTATGTGCTGCAGTTTACCAGATCAATAAATAATATAGTGTCTCAGCAGACCCACAGCTTAGATTGTAAGACTCTTAGCTCATGACTAAAGCTCTATCGGGCCGAGGTGAGGGGAGCTATTTGTCCCTGGTGTCAAGCAGTGATTTGCTATGTTGCCATTAACTTCCAGGGGAGAGAGAACAATGAAAGAGCTGCAAAGTTTTCATAATGCTTCCGGGATAAAACTTTTTAAGTTAGGAATGCTATTTTTGTTAAATTAGCCCCAGCCCTTTACCATAGGATCCTATCATGTGCCAGTTGTTTACTGTTGTTTTTATTAAGAAGTACAGTCATTTGTCTCTTCTTTTTAGGCAGTCTCGAATTAAACCAACATATTATACTCTTCTTTACAGAACCTGTCAGTTTCCAGGCTTTCCTAACACCTCACATAGACATTGCCTTAAGGAGATGTAATGGATTAGAAGGCCTTGAGAAGGGCACAGATTTTTGCTAACCCAATGACAAACCCATTTTTTTTCCTTCATGCCCAAGACCTCAGGAAGCCTAGCAGAATGGCATAAAACGAAGGAGACATTCCAACAAGAGACATATCCAAAAACATTAAGGGAAAGAAAGCCAATACTGCTGGATCCTTACCTATCTCTCTCACCTTCTGTATATTTTAAGTCTCTCTATAAGCACTGTGTTGAGGGTGAGTTTCCAAATGCCCAAAGTGGAAGCCCTGTTTTTTCTTTGCTTGTGTATACTTGATACACACACTTTTAGCATAAAAAATGGGAGGTCACACAGCTGCTGCTCAACGGAGCTGTCTTCCTTGCCATGCTACACTACTACAGACAGCCATTTTCCTTTCAGAGAAAATCCATTTATGAGACCTTACTTTCTTCCCATCTTTATATTAGTTATCAAATAAAGTTTCTTAATCATTTGCAAAGACACACCATTATTCAATATATAGCTCTGGTCAAAAGGTGTGCCTTTTATTCTAAAGGAGATAGTACTTTGCAAAATAAATCATAAGAAAAAGATTTGGTAATGCAACCAGCAGGTGTTGCTATATGGCCCAGGTTTGAACATTTAGAATTGAAAACAAAACCAGAGATAAAAGATATACTCATGCTTCTGACTTTCTCTCTCCCACTTGGTAAATGGGAGAGGGAGATTCTTTTCAGACTACCTTTCTCCTCCCACCAGGCAGTGCCAGGAGATGTGATCCTTCCCTTGGTCCACTTTTCTATCTCATCCCATCCTCAGAGCCTGGAGATTGCCTGGGGCCCCTGTATAATAAGCCATACTAGAAAGTGGTTTAATAGTGACTCCATTAGCCTGGGGATATACAGCCACTATTGCTGGTGAAGGCAGTTGATAGTTAAGTGGATAGGGTGTAATTAGGAAGATCTGAGGTCAAATGTGAACCCATATACTTACCAGTTGTGGGACCCTGGGCAAGTCTCTTAATCACTTGCCTCAGTTTTCTAAAGTATAAAGTGGTGATAATAAGAGTACCTACCTTTCAGTGTTATGAGGATCAA